GCTCATATGCGACGCTAGGTCCTAGGTGGTTCCAACACGACTGGCTGCCCGGTCAATCGCGCCAAAAGCCTGGCCTATAGCTGTCACGCCAGTTCTCCATCGACGTCCAGAGTTGAACGCCAGCATTGCCCGCAAAGATGTAGAATCCAATCCAGCGGCGAGGAGGTCAAACTCCGGGGTGTTTTCGGAGATATGATTGCCGCAAGCGACGAATCTTGTGTTTTCCTCCTGAATAGATTCTGCTGATCTGGTTTCACCGTGTAGACCTGGTTTCACCGTGTAGACTCCTTTGCAAGGGACGATACGACAGTTTGGGGGAGGTCCTTCTTCTTTCTGAATGTGAAAGCATGCTTCTTCTCTGTGAGGTCTGTGAACTCCTTCCATGCTGAAGGTTTCCAGTTTTCCAAATCCTTCTTGACATCGGAGAGGCTGACCGTGCGGGTTACCTCAAGCGGGATCCCCTTCTTAACGTGACCATCTATGATGCTCTCAACGTTGGGGGTGTGCTGGCCCTCCGCCTTTCTCAGCTTCGCCGCCACCTTCAAGGAAGTAGTAGAAGTCGAAACATGTTCTTGTTCTCACCACACCACATCCTTCTCGTCCATCTCCACAAAGGCGTTAACCCTTTGCACATTTCCATTGGTCTGGATCATCTTAAGGGTACCCTTTGGAGAGCTCTGATCCTCCTGATCAGAAGCTTCTTCTTCAAGTTCGCGTGCTTTTGGCTCCACCTTGGAACCCATATCTTCCAGGACCTCAACATCTTGCTGTGCCAACTTAGTTGCCCTCGGCGTGAAGAGAAGAAGTACTAAGCGGTCTCCTTCCCAAGGTAGTATTTCATGCCACGCTCTTGGCGCAAACTCCGAGAACTTCCCTTGGCTCAGCTTCATCACCTTGCCGCGAACAACATTCCCATTTGGTTTAACTCCCCCTCGGTTTGATCTTCTTCATGACAATCATCATCCTGAACCCATGGATCTCCACCGCGAAGAGGACTGATAGGGAGAACGTAGTTACGGGTAAACTTGCTGTTGTGAGAATCCCGGTGTATGCCTGGGCCTAGTCGAGCATTTCGGGCCAACCCCAAAGCTGTGAACTTCATCGTTCCTCCATAGTGTTGGGCCACGGCGGTCAGGTACTTGGTGGTGAAGGGAACTCTCGCACATTTGACCTTAGTCCTGCAACGCCTTCATGAACGTAGGCGCCGGAGCACCATGAACTCACAGCCGTCTTCTTCGACACTCTTGTGTCAGACTGACCCAGACTTTCCAACAGCTTGTACAGCTCCGCAACGCCACCCAGGTCAAAGTTCTTCTCTTCCAACAGCGCACCCTGAACTCAATCTCCCTTTGTAGGTCCTTCCTCGTTGGGGGCTCCATTGCCTCCAGGAGCTCTGCCGGAAGACCTTCAGCAACGGCCGGAGAGATCAAATCTTTTGAACTCCTTTTCTGGGTCGATCACATTGAACTTCACACTCTCCTGGCCACCGTGAGTCCACCATCTTCTCGCGCGATAGGTGGCCTCGTTTCACATCCAACGTCGGACCTCTGTACCATCCCCTTTTCCACCAAGTCCCTGCAGCATCGTGCTTCTTCTCCGTCTTGCCCTGGTACATTTTTGACCTGAACCAAACCTCATTCGCAAATGTAGTAGCCGGTCCTGCCGTCCATGGGCTGTCAGGGAAAGCTAACGATGCCGAAGCTTGCGCTATCGCCATAGGCCGGTCCTTTGGAGGAGCACCAGAGGCCTTGATCAAGGCCCTCACACGGCTTTTCTTGATTCCAAGCTCTGCCGTGCTATTTCATTTCCGGTGGGGTCTCCTCCCGCCGTCTTGTTTGGCGTACGCCAGCCTCGCTTACCCAGTCCTTGAAGACCTTTGCTTTGAACTCCCGAGCTCGGTCCGAATGAACTTGCGCCACGTGAAGACCACATTGCTTCAGCTGTAACTGAATTTCCTTTGTGGCTGCGAGCACACAAGAAGCAGTTCTCCTCCTCAGCGGTCTCGCAATGCAGAAAATGGCCGTTTCTGGAGGTTTCCCAATTTCCCAAGCTCAGCTATTAACTCCTCCGAAACCCCGGGTCCTCAGCATCACATTCTTCGCCTCCAGAAATTCCAGCGAAATCATCTTTCTGAGGGTTCCTCAGGTTCCAGCTCCAAAACATCATTTCCTTGATCTTCAGGCTCATCTGGCACATACATCTCACTGTCAATGTCCTTCAGGGCAACTTCACTCAAGTAGTTTTTCGGACAACGGTAAGCGGCCACCAGCCGGTCCTCTCAAGGACAACAAGTGTTTGGCAATTACTGGTACGATCGACCTCAACCAGAGCCTGAATACCTTCCAAAGTCTCGAGGCCGAGGCCAGTCTGCCAGCAATCCACCACCAAGATCACGATCTCGAGGCACAGGATCTTCTTCGACTGATCCAAATGTCGTCGAAAAGCTGAATATAACTCTCGACGAAGTGGCACAGTACTAAGAAGAGGAAACTCCAGCAGAGTGGCTTCTTCGACTCAAGAAGAAATCGAGGAGATCGAACAAGAAACATCTGACGAGATGCATGGTGGAGGATTTTTCCTGCAAGGCGAAGAGGACGAAGAGGAATCCTCTAGTCGACGTCGCACACGGCAGAGCTCTCGACCGCCTTCGGCACCAAGTACTAAGGCTGCCCAAACAGCTGCAACAGCAGCAGGCCTCGCAAACTTCTTCGGCCACCGAAACCGAGGCTCAGCCAGCGCTCAGTCAACCGACAATTTCGAGGATCATTCCCAATCTGTACTCAACTCTACTCTCAAGTGGGGAAGATTTCTCCTGCATGGGTTTTCTGTTTTTGCTTTTCATGGGTCTTAAGTGGTTGTATAAACAACTCACAAGGCCGCCTATCCAGTGTATGGACCGCCAGACTCATCAGTCTAAGGCTAAGTCCAAGGCGAAGGCAAGTGTTCCTTTCCTCGAACCCGAGGCGGAAGCAAGTCAAACAGAACACAGACATGGGCCCAGGCAAAACATTGCCGGTGAACTTTCCTCACTTCGGAAGATTTGGCATACCTCCAGGAGTGAACACTATCATCTCTCCAGAGAATGTGGCCAGCTCCGGCAAGCAAAGGACATCAATGAAAAGTGTGTCCCTTTGCAGAACCTGCCTTCACTCTGTCGAAGTTGCAAAAACTCGCCAGAACGATCCTTTCGCTCGAGGTGACACACGCCCGAGAACCACTGAGCGCGAAATCGATCGCTCTCAAGAACACGAAGGTGCAAGAACGACTTCACATATGTTCGAAAGGTCATGGCCATGGAAAGACCTCGCAAAGCAGATCGGAGCCAAAGGCAGCCAGCTCACAAGCTGTGCCGAAGCCAAATGCGAGACCAAGCAGTCCAACACCTTCCTTCACCAGACCAGAAAACAGCTCATGTTGGGAATTTTCAGGCCCCCCGAACACAGCAGTGAGCCCCGTCTTTCTTAGTCCACTCGTTCTGCTATGGACTGGCCGCGCCATTACACGCTGGCTTACCGATTTTGAATCTGGATATGGTGGTTCCCGCTGTTAAAGTTTATTCTCACGGGCTGTTAAAGGGTCGGCCTATGTTACCTCCCCGCTGCTATAACAGATTCTCCGATGCTCCACTGAGGGCTGGCTACGAGTCGAATCATCGCTGCCTCGTTCCACTTACATTGTGGATACCACTTCCAGTACATTATGTGTGGATCTCCTTCTGCACAAGACGGTCTTCAAACTGTTATCGGCCAGTGATCCTTCGGTTATGTGGGCTCTCACGTCACTGGCATTTGATGCCTCCGAAGAGGCGGGCCGGGAAGCTGCCACGTTCCACTTCCAATATGGTCACCACTTACACGAGAGACTCTGCCAGGTACGTTTCTGATTTACGGTATTGATGAGGAGTTTTCGTGATGAAGAGCGTGCGGCTACCAAATCAACATGCTCACGGGGGTACCTCCTGTTTTGTGCAACTTTGAGGCGACTGTTAGTCTTGCTGCTTTGGAGGGTGTGTCCCCCCGTGGACCCACGAAGTACACGAAACCCGAGCCCCCGATCGGTCCATGCCAACATAATTGTTGCCCTTCGACTAATCAATCCTCTTCGAACTATAATTATGTTATGTCTACGTCCTCTATGTTAGCTTCTCATTTTCCATACCGTCCACCTCCACAATGGCTGGTGCTGACGGTTCCCGGATTGGAACTCGCACGTTCAAACAAAATTGGGAATCTTCGATGCAGATTACGAAGCCTACGAAGAGAACGGCTCAGATCCAGACGAACCTCATCCCGACACGATCTGCATCTCGTAGGTCCCTGACATGAGCTAAGAGCAATGTTCTATTAAGAACAACAAGTGCAAGTTCTAACAAGAACAGTTATGCACATGCAAGTTCGTACACCCATCCTTAGAACCTGATCATGCACGGAAGATGTCTTCTTGGACAACTCACTGCTGCGACTATAAAAAAGAGTGAAGAGCATTGAACTCCGATGAAAAAGTACGCTACAAAGTAGTGTTACGTTACTCTTGTTTTTCCAGAGCCCATACATGCCGCATCACATTTGATGACATGGCATTAAGCATATACGTGCGAATGTGCCGGCCATGCTTTCAATGAAGGAAAATTAGAGTCTGTTCGAAAACTAACATCCTACTCGCCTACAGGCGGTAACCTAGGTATTTACAGCAATGGCATGGCGGCGTACTCACATGTAAACGTTCTGCTGCCCATTATGTCTGAAGTGGTTCATGACACCATAGCTCTCTCCCTGCGTAGCAATGAAAACAGCCTGCTGTCCGAGCAAGGGCAGGGCAGGTCATTAGGTCTAAGGGCCTATCTGAACCCAGATACTCCACCGAGAATAGGATCTGCAGCTGGGGGCAAGGGGGAGGTGGGGAGAGGGCGGGATGGGGGAGAGGGGGGGGACACCAAAGACAGTCACACCTTACGATGCAGCCTAGGCGGATGTCCCACAAGCACGTTTCGTTCAAGCTGCGTGGGAGCTACCGTCTTGGGCGTGTCGTCGCGCAGGGAACCTGGCCAACTCAAACGCCACAGACGTGCGCGAACATGCAACACACAAGATTCAAATCAAGAGCGACAACTAATAGAACCCACAAACACACGGTCATGGAATGGGTAAGCGGGCATACACAGGTGCAGGTGAAGGCCCAGGATCGACGAGCACACTGCAACTCCAGAAACTCTGCACTTGTGTCCTGCTGATGCGTCAGAGCTTCGGACTGCCTTTGAGGCCCCCGAACAGCTTGCAAGATTCCTGGGGTACCGGCCGCCTAACAGGATATCCGTCTGGCACGAATCGAAGTCCGCCTGCGCTCATGTCTATGGCTGCTTTGGCCGGATCTCCAAGGCCACCTTGCAACCATCATACATGTGATTACCATTACACCACAACATGCTCTTAGGGCAGAGCTGAACTGCTTGGGCTCTGCGATACACGGTACTCCCGTCTCAGAAGTTGAACATCTCAAAGCCAGAACCTGTCACATCTTCAAGGTTCCTACTTCCGGAACAGCCACCCAGGGTGGGAAGAAACTAAGTATCGCCCAGTCAGCGCCCATAAGGCGCACCTTGTCATTGCTGGGGCAATCGCTTCGCCCCAAGGCCAGAAGAAGCAGCAGCCCCCATCGAAGGGTCATGTCAAAGGGTGTAATTAGGATTTTAGGGCCTTCCATGCTGTGGCGAGCTCATGCTAGCTCTTCACGCTCCGGGGGAGTTGCCCCCCCAACACGCTTTAAGCTCACTTCAGCACTCACAGCTTCAATCTTCAGCTCTGGTGGGGCGGAGGCGGTTGGGGGGCCTCGGGCCTTTGGGGCTCTTGTTGAAACAGTTCATAATACGTGCTTTACGTCTTTACGTGTTAGGATTTCGGCTCCAAGGTCGTAGTCTGCACCGTTCATGCTGGCAGGAGTAAGGGTTAAGTGGGCGGACTCGACCAGCTATTGAAACTTATGACGGGATGTCTGCAATTAACCGACTCATCTTTCTGTACATATATTCATGCCATGTCGCAGCATGAAGACAAGTTGGAGCTGCAATACCTTCCGTGCGCTTTCTGTGGTGATCTTAGCAAGCTGAATCCCACATTCTGCTGGGCTTTGTTTCACGGACGGAACAAGTTCATCCACCTGCAAAGTCTTCGACATCCGAAGCCTCATCCAAGATCCTACAAGCCTACGTTGTGCAGCTGGACCACAACAATGGAATCGTGGCAGGCAGCGGTTTACCGAACTACGTTTCACAAATCGCTGGCGCAGGGTTTGGGAACCCCCTGAATGGTCGACGGAATCGGACGATGACGGCAAACCTTCCGCCAGCACATGTCAACGATGCGACATGAGAAAATCGAGCACCGGCACTGGCTCTAAAATCTCGCGTTCTTGTGCCAAAGACCTGATAACCGGGAAAACGATGTGGTCAAGCCGTTCCTTTCGGGAGAAACTGAACCACAGACCAGTTGAGCCATGCCCTGCAGCCGAAGGGAGCGGTGGGCCGCACGGTTTATGGTTGAAGCTTGAGTGTCTCTCGCTGAATACTCTACGAAGCAATGCACCGGTTGTCTGCCCTGTGCATCTTGCACGACACAATCGCATCTCAGACCAGGGGAAGTCTGAGGTGAGTTTTTCCGTTCCGGCGGGCTGGGCAAGTTGGTGTTGTTTTCGGGTTCGATTATTCCTTCCGCGAGCAGAGCTTGATAAACAATATAAACAACAACAGTTGAATGTGGAGATACGCCCACGCATTCCCTTGTCACATGACTATGCCTCCGACGCCGTGCTAAATCATTTGCAATATGTGCCATCCTCGGCCGCCGAGGATGGCACCTCGGTGGATGCGATTTCAGTGCTGTTTCGCAAGACTTTGCACCTATGCCTGCTCCTTGGGAAGTCTAATTACTTACGAAGAGTAAACAAAGCTTTAAAATGCAGCGTCGCCAAAGCGCAAAATCTTTCGCATGCAGTCCGTCAGTAAACCCTTCACCGGCAGCCCGGCGCGCTGAGCTCGGAACGTGGTTGAGACAGGCAGTGCTTTTTGTTTACTCCACACGCTCATACACCAGTCATGCGGTCGACCCATTCCCAGAAATGCTTCAATCGGCATCTCCCTGGTACTTGGCAGGGAACCACATCATTGAGCTCACGCTCCTAGGTTACTGCCTCCCGAGCCTTACCAGCAAAGGAGTTCTTCCTGTCCGCTCCCCTTGGACCTGGAACGCGAGCTTGCGCCTTCTTTGAGGTATGTGCATTCGGGTTGTATTCTCTCTCGTACCCTGAATGTAAGAATGTATGATTGTTACACGATGTGATGCATCCGGAAGGCCTGAACTTATAGGTGAGGGACCTTTATATCAAGAAGTAACAGAGACTGACCTTTATTTGACTTAGCCTGAGTCTGATAAAGGGCAAGTCCTCCTGGCGGAGTGGCCTCAGATTCCAGCAGGAAACTCGGCAGCTGTTTGGCCCAGAACATTGTCAGTCGGGCACACAGCGGCTATTGTGGTGTGGCTTCTCGACACCCTGACTTTGGGCTTGCGTGGGAATCTAACTCGATTTTCAGTATCTGACTACGGGAGACGAATCCAACCCAAGCGAAGGACAGGCGAGCCCAGCAACTGAAATGCCGACAACAACCGTGCAACAAGATGGCTGATGACACCCAAAACAACTGCAGAGATTTGCTCGCTAATAAATAGCACCTAACTTTGAAGGCAGGGTTCAGAAAAGTCAGGGCCTCCAGTCTCTTATATGTCCACTTGTAACGGCAAACGTCCACAGGTTCAGGTTGCAAGGCTACACACGAAGACTGACGGCGTAGGGTTACGAGAAGCGTGTCATGCAGAAGAGAAGAGCAAACAATTCGGTGGCTGCCCGTGCTAGCGTTACATCACAACCTCCATGCTTAGACACGGTAACTTGCCAAAACTCAGCAAACCACAACCTCACCATGCAGCACGAATCTACAGCCCCCACAAGCAATGTGGAAGCACGCCCAACCCTAATCCCTGGTTCGGTCAGCATGGGACTTTTCGGTCGAGGTTCACTCTACCCAAGTCAAGCGCGGGCAGCAACCTCTAGACAAGGTCTTGCGGAAAGCCAAACAAAAAATACGAGGAGAGGATCCAAAAAAAGAGAGGCCAGCGAACAGAGCATGCAGGACGTATGAATTGTGGACATGGCTACCGGGCAACCGTGGTCCCCGGTGGTGCGTATTCGCCCCTGCCCCTGCACGGTTGTGGTTGGCTGTGCCCCCTTCCATGACTATTGCGGGTTGGGCGACATGGCACAGTTCCTCTGAACTCCGACCCGCCCTGAACTCCTATCATGATGATGAATATGAGGAAGATGGTGATCATGATCCCCATCGACACTCTCGTCCGGTCCCGGTCCCTTGCTCAAGAGTCCCAAATCAAACTCGTTCACATGCCTTACCCCAGACCAGGACAGCATAAAACCAGAGATATCCAGAGATACTACCAACAGTCACACACGGAATACCAGCATGCAAAAAGCCCATCAGCATGATCATCCGTGTGCGGCGGGGGGGGGGGGGGGGGGTGGGGCGCCGATTCCGGCCAGAAACTTACTGCTGCGAAAACTGAGCCAGCGCTCCAAGAACTCGTTACGAGGATGATGATGCAAACGAGCACCATCCCTGTGACTGTTTTCTCGGATGAGAGGCCTGGCTTGGACACTTGAGGATAAACGCAGCACACTGTGATCTTTCACTCTGGACCTCGGACCTCTGAGGTGTATGGCAGATACTGGGTTCAGACGAACGAAAACCCGGCTCCAAAGGAGCGCTGTTGTGAATGCCTGCGAAGAACATGTTCCTGGACGTGGGGAATTCTAGGTCGGCCCTCACCGGGATCCCCTCAGCACTTGTCCGCGCTGCTGCGTGGCTTCTCATTGCAAGTAAAGGTGTTTTGGGCTTTGGTAGTTCCGCTGCAGCCAAAGAACGCTCTGATTCGGAAAAGACCAAGAAGGAAAGAATGACAAGTCCGAATACACAAGTCTAGTCATTCACATAAACACTTTGAATTGCCTGAACCATCATGACCCTGCAAAGGCTGAACGGAATACACATAACCATCACCGTAACGTACTCGGCGCGGCCGTCAGAAGCCATGCAGTTGCCGGTGCTTGCACAAATTGCAGGCAGATGCGATCTCGGTCAACGGGACCTGCATGGAATTCCGGGCGCAAATTGGTTGCTGCCCAGGCTTCTGGGCTGCAGGCTGTAGGTCAATCAACACAAGTCTTGCTATCCCTCATGAACACAACCAGGCCAATAAATCCCAGATCAACGATCTATAGACTTGAAGCCCTGAGCCCTTTGTCACACAGCCTTGACCGGTGAAAAGAGCCTCGAAACGTCAGCCTTGCACACTGCCTTCTAACTGAACAGTCAGCTCGGAAATTAGTGCCATGGGAACAAGAGCGGCTTAGCGCAAGAGCTGTCCTGAACCTCCTATGAGTGTACTGTGCAGCAAAGCAGGCGGGCGGGTGCGCTATAGTGGCCTGATGCAACGGCCGGACAAAACGTATCCAGTCCGGGACTACTTGCCCACTCAATCACCAATACGACCAGGCACATTAGAATTAATGCGAAAGCCTGTACTTCATCTGCCTCGTCCACCGGAAGTGGCCGAGGACGCGGTTGCCCCCAGTCCGTGAGCATCTGTAATGAGCCTGAGATTGTGTGTAGTTGCAAGTTGAAAAGGTGTTGAGGACTCTTTGTTCGGTGCAAGGGAAATGCCTCTGATGCTTCCGAGTTTTAGGATTGTTCAATGTGCATTTGCATGACCTCGGGGATGTCGGGCAAGTTCTCGATGGCCAACCTACGCTTCTGCGATTGATCTTTGTGATCAGGTACGAGCAGTGTGTTCCGTTCGACACGTGTTCTACAACAACACCTCCTGGTGGGCAGGCCTCGGGGCACCAAGAACCACACCATTGACTGCAAAGAGCTCCGCACTGGAACACCGCCTGGGCCAAACTCAACCCAACCCTTCCAGAACATCTTAAGTCTTCACCCAACTAGCTTCTGAAGCCTGACCAAACCACAATCCATCCCGGATGGTCAAAAGGTTCCACAACCTGAAGATGTTAACGGCTTCACAAAACTCCACAGTCCCAACCCCAATGTCCTTACAAAAAAAACACAGGCCTGCCGTTCCCAAAGCCCTCCCAACATGCCGACACATCCAATGCTGAAGGGCTGGAGGTGATCTGAAGGTTCCGCGCTAGGTGCTCGAGGTGCCTGGCGTGCCAAGTCGGGAGATCAGGGTTTGAGTGCCGGGTGGCTGCATTGGGACAGATGAAGGGCTTTGCAGTCCTGCAACTATCTCCAGAAATCATGCATAAGCCACATGTTAGGAGCTATATGCTGCGTCAAATGCAAATCGTGTATCTTTCAAGAAGCAGATGGAACCTTCGGGGTATAGCGAGCATTGCTTGCGACGATCGGAGGCAGATCTGGTGGTACAGGGTGAATAGGAGTTGATAGTTCATATTCCGGCCCCGAAAGACGGCAGAATGCACAAGTGCATTCCCGCAATCCAAACTCTAGTTGCGAGCTTTAGAGGGCAATCCAGTGTCCGGAAAGCGCTGAGGGCGTAAGACAGAATCACTGTCAACTCAAGCTCTCCACACCTCACCAGCTCTTTTCGCCGCAC